AAGGTATTGGTGTTGACGGGAATGTCTGGCATATTTAGGAACTTTCTTCCATTATTATTGACTTTCGAAGATTTCCAACAAGCATGGGAGTTGTTATTATCACATTTGCAGGATTCATGTTTATATTCGAATCAGGAAGTAGCGATTGCCTCCATCAGATCTTTGAACACAATAATTCAGCTTCCTGAGGATGAAGCACATACAGATGAATTTGGAAAGAAAATCTTTCCATTCTGGCATACTGCATGGCTTGTCTGGGAGAAAATAGGTTTAGGCATTATTACAGCATCCGAAAAAAAAATTATCAAAGCAGATAATCCTCCTATTTCGTCACCAGCAGATAGTGCGACATCAACTTCATCACGTTTCAACCAGGAAACCCTCACTGCCTATATTATCACGTTCAACGATCTCTATAAAATATTACATTTTAATTTTTCTATCGAGGAAATAAGAAGGCTATTGAAAGTTGTATATGGAACACTGACCTATCCTAGTAGCCCTTCGTATAGACCAGATCACGATTACCTCACCCCCTTACAAGAGGCAGTTTTGGATGTTGTAAAAAACATAGACCTAAATGTACCTGGTGCTCCCGCTGCGGTATTGGGCGATCTCGCAGAATATATAACCTTGGCATTCATGAAAAAAACCCGTGACGAAGGAACCGTCAATGAAAAAACGGACAAGCAAGGCAAGAATGATTTGGTCGAGCAGAAGACACCAGCAAAAAACACAAATTCGAACACTAAAAAGTCGAAAACGGAGGCACCAGTTACAACGTCTAAAAAGTCATATGAAACAGTAACCTTCATTATATTCTCCAAGACTTCCATGCGTATGGTTGAGAGCTTGTTCAAAAAGTTTGTGAAGGATAAGGGGGTTTATTCCGAAGGTGTCTTTGAGAAAATCATTTGGGTATACTTTATAATATACATTATTTGAAATTAACTGAGGTTTACAATATTCAAACATCCGATATTTGAATAATTTAATAGGCATACGGAGTTCCGATGAAATTAAAATACAATTGCCCACCATCAGGAAAGCATGTTGAAGACGTTGAACTTTGGAAGATTGCCACTACTGCTTTTCTGAAGATTGTGAAAGAAGGGTTAATTGAATTAGAAGGTTTCGGGAACGGTAAATCTGATTTCTCTTTTTTGACACCTCACCTGAAAGTCTTTAGTGATGTATAGACTTTTCGTAGATATTTCCGATGAGCGCTTCGTAAATACTTGGAAACAGTTAGTCGATGTTATTCAAGGCACCTTGATATCTAATAGGTACTTTAATTACTGAATTTTTGGACAACGCGTTTAAAATATCTTTTATCTGAATATTTGATTATAATTTCTTCAGTCACCCACCATCCTTCCTCAAAGTGGATCAACATGACATAGATGAAGCCTTTGATATGAAATGTCTTTTCGACTTACAGACTGCCGTAATGGTTCACATGGGTCGTCCTCGAGTTCCACAAGATCTTATTAAGAAGATGGTTGAGGCGATAAAAGATGGGTCACGATTGTATTCCACCGACGTGCAAAGACAAGGAAATGGATACTTGAACCGATCTCCAACGCCACCCAATAAAGTAAATGAACCACATCTCAAAAAAGCTCTTGAGGAGGTGGAAGGAGTAACTACCAAAATTATTCCTGTAGCTAGAGAAGGATTTGCGTATGCTTGTTTGCAATGCTTATTCGATTTATGTTCAGATGAACAAGAAGGT